GGTACTATTCGCTCAGAGTCTACTAGATTATAGTTCCGGTCATAACATGCTCATATTACCCTTCACTTTAATTCCTGTTTTCATTGGTGCCGTCTAAACATTTGCTACAACTGTGTAGACCAATGACCAGATTACATATACACGCTCATCAACAAGTGTTTGAAGTGATGCACACACAAGGGTGTTTCCCAGAGGGATAGTTTATTGATCCACTCGATATACACAAAAGGTCCAGAGAATAACGATTCTTATTGTATCCTATTAATTTATTACACAAACTTGATACAATATGGGCACCAAGAAGATGCACCACTCAAAAACAATTAAACACCAGTATATAAAGGATATAGGCAGACATTGGATGAGGGGGACATCATCCAGAGAGAAATCAAGCCTGCTTGTCGAGATCGCTCGACATTCACCACTTCATGTTACTTTATATTATATTTATGGTCCTGTTGATTCTTTGTTTCCACTTTCATAACTGCAAACACCAACTTATCTCTATGACTGCTGTAATCTTTGTTTTTTCCCTCACCATATCATGTAAAGAGAACATCATATTCAATATTTTTAATCATGCAAGGATTTGTATACCGCATCGACAATACTGTGTGAAACAAGCCCACGGCAATTTCCACTTGTATTATTATCATTACCTTAGCTGCTATCATTATTATTTTTTCCATTTTATATGCTGCATGTTTTTTATTAACCCTATTGTAAATGTAGAAAAATTTTCTGTGTGATTAATTTTATTTATAATTTGAGGAAATTAGATGCAATATTGTGATTAATGCTGAAAATTCCATTCTGTATCACAAGTACTGTTTTTGGAATAAAGTAAATCATTATTATTATTATTATTTCAAAAAGGTAAAAAAGAAGGAAAGTACAGCATGTTCACCATTGACTGCAATTCTTGGTTATAACTGATAACTTTTTGAGTCAGTGATTCAAACCATCTTTCAGACCGCAGTCAGAGAGTCATGACGTATTAATTGATGCTATCTCAACATAAATATCCTTCATCCCTTGACGCCGTGTCATAGGCTGACCCATCACGTCCCCAACTCGATCAGGAAACTAAGTCCCTGTTTGAGGAAGAACTAGCTAAACACATATCTGAGTTCGACAGCTGCGCTCATCCTGAAGAAGCCTGGAAGAATATTCAGTCAGCCATAGATACAGCTATAAAAACTGTGAATAAGGTAAATCCAAAGGTGAGTAAAAACCATTGGATTTCGACTGCCTCATCCGAACTGATAGATGCTAGAAGACTTATTCCGGCGAGCTCCGAATTCAATGAGGAGCGAAAGCTGCACAAAAGGAAACTTACGAAAAGTCTCCGCAAGGACCGTGAACAGTGGTGGTTGACAAAGGCGAAAGAGATGGAAAAAGCATCGGCGATAGGCAACACTAGGCAACTCTTTAGACTCAGCATAGGCTAACCGAACACCTCTCCACTTTTTCCATCCCTCTCAGGGCTAACGAACAGAGATCGGTACGGAAGTCTCTGGGATGACATTCGCTGTACATGTCCAGGCCACAGAAGCCAGTGTTTCCCGATAATGACGATCAACAAGTGGTGATCTCCACTGTGTCCAGACACACACGCTGCCGGACCCTCGAATTACTCACATAATGATGCCAACAAACACAAACAATTCTACAGAGACAGCGATTACCGAATACGCAGCTCGCAGAGGCCATGTTTCACAGACGTGGAGCAAGACTGTGCACACCGAAAGCATTGCAAATCTGTTATAACTGCTCTGAAATGAATAAGCCCGTCGCTACTTTGTTACGTCTTCGCCGCTAATTGTTATAACGCTAATGTACCTATTTGTCCGTTGTACCTTCCGATTCACTGAGCCACACAAATATCAAAAGACAAAGGCTGGCCTGTGACTTTAAGATACTGTAGTGTACATCTATTAGGAAACAAAACATCATATTTATACATTTCTTTACCACAATAAATTCGGTTCACAACCGTGGAAATGGATCGCTTTCATTGGCTGGAAATATCTATTCTGATTGATTGGTGATCCAGCAAAGACCAAAGCGAGACAAAGGATGATGAACTGATCACACACTAAATCACAATACGCGTGAGAAATGACAGATTAACACAGTAACTCCATCACATAATCACATGATTCGTGAGAAAGGATAATATACCGTTTCGTGCTTGGTCCCATCGAAACCCGACCATTGACAGCCAAGCTAACGTCGTTACGATTATGGTTAAGATAGTATCTTAAGACACCATAATACTTTAAAGTAAATTTTCCATCACAAGTAATTTCACCAACTATTTTTACAATATCTCCAGACATAACAAGTGGCGGAAAGTGACGGACATCCAATCCAAAAGCGATTTTTTTTCGGGATATCCACGTTATGCTTAAGGTGTAGCGTCAAGCTGGAATCCGCTTATTCACAACTTTCAGCACATTAGAAAAATTGAAAACTATGTTGGTCTTTTTTCTAGTAGTGTATATCGTTCACTGAATGGATACACTTTTGAATGAGTACTATCAAGGACAAGGTGACGCAACCCCTAAACTATCGCCTAGTTTACTAGCCGACAGTTGGTTAGTTCAGAAAAGACGAGAAGTTCGGTGGGCATGAGACTAGAGAAACCACCGATAATGGATATCCAAAGCCTGAAACTCTATGTTGCACTCGGGAACGCAGGGAATGAGAGAAAAACAAACATGGAACCCTTACTTCCAATAGCGTCGGTGGCACAGTGGTTATGACTCTCGCCGACCATGCACATGGTCCGGGGTTCGATGCCCTGCTGACGAACACCTGATATCTATGGTCGGCCTGCAAAATTTGGGCTACGGATATCACATGCTGAAAATTCCATACATGTACCAAAAAATATGGTGTGGAATCAAGCTGTAATCAAAAATCAAAACTTAAGAAAGGCTGATAAAACGCAGAAACCTACACATGTAGGTAATAACTTTTATGGAATGAATTATGCAGAGGTACTTTTTGTCATTCTCAAACCTTCATGTTTTTTAGCCAGTCTAGGAAATGATCGGCTCCAGCCAACAATCCAAAGTTTTCAAATGTATAATGATTGTAGGTATGTAGATGATACTTTTATTGTTTGTAATAATGATTATAATTTGAGTAATATATTAAATGAATTTAATAGTTGCCAACCAGCGATAAAAATTTCACACTCGTAATGGAGAACGAGTCTAGCATTCATTTTCCTTGATGTAAACATATCAAGCAGGGCCGATGAAACTCTGAAGAGATCAATTTACAGAAAGCTTTCATGCAGTGGTCGGTCAACAGACAAATTTCTACAGCTGGGTACCCATTGGTCGAAAACGAAATCTGATCCGATCACTTGCTGCCCGCATTCAGCACATATTCTAGTACTAATGCTGTGGAGAAAGAGTTCAGTCTTCTAAGAAAAATCCCAAAGGAAGATGGATTTCCACCACGTTTTATAGACAAGAACTAACAGTCAAAACCTATGAAATGTGACCTAACGTCAGTAATCACGAAAATGATGTAAATCAATCTGGAATTAGAAGGTGACTTGGCTGTTGTCATCCTTAAAAGAAAGATTTCACAGTCTCTTGAAAGGACATTCCCTGCAATATAGTTTTCCAGTTGACCATTACTATTCCATAACCTGAAGGACAAGATCCCACATTTGACCAATTCTAAGTGTGTTTATCAATTCACCTGCTCTTGTAGAGCTAGGTGTATCAGTTGTTCGACGTGGGTTTTACCCAAGAGGGTGCAAGAACACTATCATGCATGCATATGAAGAGGTGGAACTGGCCACTACCGCTTACCCTAGTTCTACAGACTTAGAATTTACAAGGCGAAACATAATTTGCCCTATTCATTACGTAACCGACTCATCTGCATTGCTGGAGCTATGACCATAAAAACACAAAACCATGATCTCTGTATACAGAAAAGGTTCGTTCAACTCCTCCAACTTTTATGGTCTTAATCCCTCTATGCTAAAGTATGATAATCTCCATTCACCTTTTGACTCTACTTATTTTTCGTTTTGTTCATTCAATTTGTATATCCTTCCCTTATTATTATATCGACTGTTACTATTATTATTATTCTCACTTCAAATCGTCTCCGCTTTCATTCCACTCGTTCCACTTCACAGTCTACATCAATTCGTGTTTTCCAAGGTTAAACTCCATCTTAACAAATTTCACACCATTTTATATAACACTTTGATTTGCCTACTAAGCCTATAATTTCACACACTCTTCCAACCATAGATACATCCCACGAATAATTCTACATATCAGGTGTTAGTTTGCAGGGATTTCATTGGTTATAGGATTGATCACGAGATGGCATCAGTTAGAGAACCATTCGAAACCATCAGGGAGTACTGGACAGCCGTTTCCTCCTAGTTTAGGGCTCTTCCTCAGTCCACACCCACCGGTTTTTGAACCCAGAACCTTCCAGTCACAAGCAAGCCAGCTTGTACACTATTCAGCAAATGGAATCTGACTCAATGGCCGAAGAATTCTAACTTCTCCCAATTCGTGATTGATCGTCGCGGTAAAATCGCGAATTAGTAGAAGTTAGAATTCATGGGCTGGCCATTGAGGAGTCTGGTCCGAGTGACTGAATAGTCTATGAGCTCACCTTGTAACCGGAAGGTCCTGGGAAGTCCGAACCCCCTGGTGGGTGCACACCATTGAAGAGTCTCACACCAGGACGAAACGACTGTCTAGTACTACTCCCAGGCTTTCATCAAATGGTTGTCTAACTGAAACAAACAGAATCCCTACAAAAACTAATTCTTGAAAAAAAACTATTTGTTTTGTCATTTGACGTTACATTCAAGTACGATTATAATTAGAAACACTTTAGCTGCATTACATTCAACTATCATTATTATTATTTTATATATTCACACTTTGGATTCAATTCCCCCCCCCCAACTGGATATAATTTCTTAGAGAACAAAATACCACAAATACAAAGCATATGTTGGTATATTTCATCAAGGCAACCAATTCACAAAATTGTACTATTGCAAATAAAGTATCAAATACCTTCACAGAATGGAACTGAAAACAAAACCGCAGAGAGTAAAAAGTTGTTGATGATGACGATGCTTCACTATGTACACACACGTAGAAAATAAATAAATAACCCCAAAAAGGAGTTATAAAAATTCTCCTTTTTGTGTTTTCTGTTTTCGATTTTTTTTATAAATACCAACTAACTAACGTCTTTTACGCTTCGAATCATGATCATAGACTTCTCCATCACTTGTACTGTCCAACTCTTCACCGTCTTCAGGATCAGATGTGCGTGACTGACGACGTCCACCACCACCTCCACCGTGTCGATGACGACGTTGGCGTTTATTAGCATCACCACCACCACCGGCAGCTGCGACAGCTTCAGGATTAGCAGAATCACCACCACCATCTTCATCATTGTCATCATCATCGTCGTCGTCGTCAGCTGCCTCGCCTTCTTCTAATTCATCATCTGGACGCTTGTTGTCAGTGCCTTTACGGTGTTTACTATGATGCTTCGATTTACGATGTTTCGATTTTTTCGACTTACGATGTTTACGATGTTTCTGAGAGGCACGTTTATCCCCACTACCATCATCTGACTTTTGAGCACGACTATCGTTTGATGGAGCTGGTGAGGGAGATACGGTTTCTTTTTTTCTCTTCTGATCCACTTCTTTGTCATTATTTTGATTGGCGGAGGCAGACCTGTATGAAAAGGGAGGGGTTGAGGGGTTTGGGAAGAAATAGGCAAACATTAAAAACAAATCGACCTGTGAAGTTTTAACTTTCTCTATCACATCAGAAAAAAATTTAAAAAAATAAATTTTTGTACAATTTCTCCTTTAAAAAAGATCGATGACAGGAAAAAATAATTTCAGTGAACACCTTGAATATTTCTTTTTTGCTGACATACATGGTTCTACCTGTGAATTGATCTCTCTTCAAAACAACGACCTTTTGTTCACATGCATGCTGCTTAAAAGTTAATCCCTCTTTAATGAGATAGTGTGGTGGTGTGATACAGACAATGTGTGTGTCAACGGAATATTATTCTCACATATTCCTAGAGTTTAATTCGGCATTAACAACAGAATACGATATAGCTATTTGAACATTCTATTTCATATCGTTTGTGGTAAACCGAAATCACAATCGTGCGTCGGTGGCATAGCGGTTGGGACGCTCGCCGACCATCACATGGTCCGGGGTTCGATCCCCCGGCCACTGACTCACTTCTTTACCTCGCTAAGCCAGAAATATAAGCTGGTAAAGAGGAAAGGTTGGGCATGTGGCTAGCAACCCCATCCTGTAAAATAAACACTGCTACAGAAACTTCAAGCCACTAGCTTGAAGCCCTATGTTCCACTGGGGAACGTGAGGGAAAAAACAATTAAAATATACCTTGGCTTCTGTGTCTTGCCTACCTATAAAATATCTCCCTACTTTAATATAAGAACAGCCATTAGGCATTGTAGTAGAGCATAATTCAACTCTATGGTAAATTTATTTGATAAAGTCTCACAGTGTTACACGTTTCGAGCACTATTTATTACTCATAATCGCATGAAGCTACTCACACAACTTGCAATGCAAACGTCATCTTTAAATAATACTGTATAACACTATGAAACTTTATCAAAAAAATCTACTCCCTCCACCGTTTAACTTCTACACCATCTCACTCTACCAGGTAGAAGTGCTTGTAGACACACACGCACTGACTGACTTTCAACTTTCCACGAAAGTGCAACATTTGGAATTGTCATTCTTTATAAAGCATACTCAAAGGTGTAGAAACAAAAAATTCAAAAGAACCATAACTGAGCAGGAATGTATGGAATAAAGAATAATAAGATGGAGGAGAATGACAAAGGGTGAATATATCTGCGCCATTGATAACCATTTTGAGTCACTTAAACCAACCGCCTTAAGCCATTGGTTCTTAACATCTCGAGGATCCCCCCAACCAAGCGGTCAACACTTCTCTACGTGACATTCAAAACAATCGTGAGAGACTTCACGAACTGATGTCAAATTTTGATTTGATCATGGCTAACTAACTCATTTCCATAAGTATAAAACTTGGGTACTGTGGTAGAGTATAACTCCATTATGGATAAGATTTTATTTTGATAAATCACACAGTGTAGTACAGTTATATTAACTGATGACGACTTTTCGAGCACAAACTATTGCTCAGAATCATATCAAGTTACTCACACTAATTTTTTCTTGATTTATATACATATTTATGTACAGCTGGGAAATATTGCTCTAAATACATTTGATCCTACTCCAAAAATATGGTGGAGATATGTGAATGACACTTTCACAGTGTTAAAAACAGAACATATCTCTAGCTTCTTGACATATATAAACTCACTAGTAAAGGGAATAAAATTCACATTTGAATCGGAAAATGAACAAGGAGAATTAGCTATGCTAGATTGAAAAATAAAACGAACAGAAGAAGGTAAACTGCAAACTAGCGTATAAAAAACCAACGCATTCTGCTAATAGATATTGGGACTTTAATTTGTCTCATCCATTCGTTATCTGTCTGTGAAGGCTGGCTTAGTTAAGTGTCTTACAAACCGAGCACTAGCACTAAGTAGTACAAGAAAAGACCTAAATGATGAAATAAAACAGATAGAAGAAGAAGCGTTGGTGTTAAACAACTAACTGTTCCATAAAATTCATTAAGAAGATCAGAAAAGGTCAAAAGCGAAATAAAAATAACGGTGAAACTAATAATGACAACATACATAGGAGAGAACATAAGGCATCTACAGTTTTACCATATTAGGCGAGAGGGGACATCTGAGACCCTACGTAGGATTCTCAATAAAGCAGGAATTAGAGTGGCATTTAAACCTACAAACTCACTCAGAGACAATCTCTGTAGGCTAAAAGACCTGGTGGACCCAATTCAACAAAATTATATAATTTACAAAATGCCTTGCAAAGACTGTGAGTTAAGTCAACTACATAGCTCAAACTATTAGATCAGGAATAGTCAGATTGCCTGTCAGAACATAAGAATTTAGCTAAGGTTAGAATGACTGACCCAGTAAAGATAAGTAATTTAGAAAAAAGCTCAGCAATTGCAATGCATGCATTAACACACAACCACACAATAGGGTGGGAGAGAGTAATATAGGTAGGAGGAGAGAGAGAGAGGTTGATTACTGAATCCTGGTTTATTGAGTCTGCACCTAACACATGCAACAGAAATGACTCAATGCAAATACCAGAGATATGGAAGATGTTATTACCACCAATCAGTCAAATCAGAGGAGGATAATAAATAATCTTAAAATTCTATTTCAATTCACATACATCATAACACTCTAACAAGTTACTTATTTTACTGTAAAAAACATCTTGTTCCCCATCTGACTGTATTTGATTGATAACACTCATATTATTATCTCTGAATGTACATTATCTTATATTGATTTTATTCAGATGTCTAATGATCAGTTTCACACGTGTATATAAATGAAGCCAGAAAGTTGTGTGAGTAGTGACTTGATATGATTATGAGTGGCAATAATTTGTGCTCGAAACGTCGTTATCAGTTAATATTACTTACTGTATAACACTCCACTGTGTGATTTATTAAAATAAAATCTTATCTCTTAATCATTTCCAACCTAATGTTATGTCAGATAACATTAATCGACGCGGGAAACGACTGATCTTCCCTGCCTACTTAACACTCGACACTTAACATTACGCCGTCTCTGGCGTACACGTGATATCCAACTATCGATCAAAGGGCGGATGTACTGCTCATCAGTCCGCTCCGTCCTCCTTTATGGCTGTGAGACCTGGCCATTGAGAGCGGAAGACATGAAAAGATTAGCTATCTTTGATTACAGGTGTCTGCGTTCTATCTCCCGCGTCAAGTGGTATAATAAGGTGAGCTATATTGAGGTTAGGCGTCGAGTGTTAGGTAAGGCGGGGAAATCAGTCGACGAGACTGTGAAATTACATCGACTGAGATGATTAGGACATGAGCTACGTATGCCTAGTCATCGCCTTCCTCGATGGGCAATTTTAGCTGATATAGGGTCAGGCTGGAAAACAGCTAGCGGCGGTCAAACCAAAACATGGCACCAGTCAATGAAATCTACAACAGTTAGTCTAAGCCAGCCACGTAGGAAGGTGTAGACTTCCTGACTGATTGGGGTCCTCAGGACGGTAAAAACCAATGGTTGGAAACAATTAGCGCAATGGCTCAAAATCGTTCTCAATGGCTGGCGCAGATGCATCCACTCCTTGTGACTTATGATTTCCAATGAAGCTATATTGTTCTTCATTATTAACATTCCTTTGTCTCTCACCTCTGTTTACTGTCTCTAATATGCATTTCTTCTACTTTCTTCTCTTGCTTTGTGTCCTACATGGAGTGTGGCGACTTGAACTGCCACACATATGTGCAAAGTTCTGTGTCGAAAACCGACCGACCGAACCTCAGTATTCCTGACTATATAATACCACTCACTCAACGAGAGAGATAGAACGACAACATCTTTAGTGAATGATAGCTAGGCTTATCCATGGTCATGTCTTCCAGTTATAAAGATGAAAATAGATAGCAGACTGCTGAGCACTACAAACATCCATTGATCGTTAACTGGATATCTTCACAGAAATAGAGATGGTTGGTTAACAGCTAAAAGTACACAGTACACAGGTATCAACTTACTCGTCATGTCGATGCTTATCCTTACGAGAACGATGATTATCTTCATTGAAAGAATTGTCGATTGACATTATGTGTTCTTTGAAAAGTCGTATTCTTTCAGATTCCAATGATAAACCCTAAAAATGTATTGTACATTAGAAGAACATATAAATATATGAGGCATACACAAAGGACTACTCTCCATTATGAAGTATCATTGTATAATTAAAACTGTATACTGATCGATGAAACTAGTAAATAACTAATGAGATGTCTACGATCCTTAATGGCAGTAATGATTGGAATTGTACCAGTCAGTTGGCACTTACCAATTCACACACGCAGATCACTGGGTGGGATTTCCCAAAACTGCAGTGGGAAGTTGTGACCAGTAGCATCCACCATATCAAGGTGAACTGGATGTTCTCATCCCGAATTAATAAGGGATTGAATTCCAACGCCAACGGGTGAACAGTCAACAGGCTTGATCTGTTATAACCTGAAGGTATCGGGTTCCATTCATGGGGGTCATGGAAGACTCCCGTGCTGGGGACTCCCAAAATAGAACGAAACAGCTGTCCAACGCTCCTGGCTGGTTTTCAATAATCCCTCTTTCTAAATGATGTTGATTCGTGGAGAAAATCTAACTGAAATGACCAAATTTAACAAAATTCACCGTTGTGGTGAACATTTGACATTAGTATTAGATAGATGGAAATAATTTGTGTTCAGCCAACCAAACACGCAGTCCATGGTTTGATTCCTAGCCAACACAATGCCAAACCTCCCCAGCCAGTTTACTAGACGGTAGAATGTCTGGAAAAGACGGGAGAGATTGGGTGGAGGGCTATCAACCCTACTGTACAAAAAACAACAAGAACAGCGAAAGAGCCACTGAAACTTTAAATGTTCGAAGCCGAATGTTCCTTTCGAAATGCAAACGAATGAAAACAAACAATTCACTTTGCACTTGCTTACAACCAAAAGTCATATGAAAGATTATAAACTGTTCGCTTTTTGAAAGGATGTACACATTCTAAAGTGATTGCATTTTCCACACAACACAGTTTAAATAATCACAAATTGCAATAGTTATTTGATAGAATTTTAGATTCTCTCGTCGATTGATTGAACCAAAGTGCTCGGTCTCAGCTGACGAGTTCCAAATAGGACGAAATGCGCATCCTGGATTCCACTGCTAGTCACCATCACGGATTGATATCAATTAGAGAACCATCGGAAACCAGCAGAGAGTACTGGGCAGTCGTTTCCCCTAGTTTGAGACTCTTCATCGGTACGCACCCACTGGGGCTCGAATCCAAGACCACCCAGTTACAAGGTATGCTCGTGGACCATTCTCAGTCACTGAGACTCGATTCAATGACCCAAGAATTCCAACTTCTACCACCAACCCATGTCGGCGGAAAGCATTTGTGGTCAACCCTACTGGTGAAGACTTTCTGCCAGAACTCTAGGCAACTTCGTTCTGTAGCCAATCACTAGCGAGCATCAGATCAATTTTCAAGATTTCATTCGAGGGGGTTTGATTTGTTTTAAGTTTGATTATGGACTGATACCAGTGAGTGCTGAACAGCTGTTTCCCGAAGGTCGTGGATTCGAAACCCAGGGGATGCGTCCTGCTGAGGAGTCCCAGACCAGGATGAAACAGCTGTCTAGTACTCCCCCCTACTGGCTCTCATTCGTTCCACTAACTGTGAAGTTAGACCATGATCAATCTTGGAATTCAGGGGTCAGTGGAAAAGACAATAAATAAGTGATGCGAAAGGATGACCATTCTAGTAACATCTGATAAAAAAAAATACAAACGACGATGAACAAAAGACACGTCTAATACAAAAATGGATGAAATCATTGTAAGGGTTGATTGATTTTCTCTATATCGGTTGTAATTTATTCCGGTACACATTAGATATACAAAATGAATGAGAAGGTCTGCAGCTTTGGTGGATGATAATAATAGAGTGCAGTTGTTTTGTCTACGGCGGGAGTTGGGGAAGCCTTTATCCTACCAGACAACTTCAATAAAAAAATTTATCGTTGAATATGCTGTGTCCAGAAAGACAATGGAAACTTCGAAAAATCAATCCATTCAATCTAGTTCAGAGAACCCAACAACCACAACACAAACATCAGATATATCCGCATTAGTCGCCGTGTTCTCTTCTTAATATTACATTGAATCGAAATTAATACACTACATAATCTTTGATTGGACACCAGTAACTAGTGTGATGTGTCTAGTCCTTTGTTTGCTGCCGACTGAATTCTATCATCAGTCAAATTTGCAATGTGGCCACCATGCCACTAGGTGGCTCGCCATCACGGTGCACTGTGAATTGGTGGTACTAGATGGTTGGAGGCAATCGACAGGAAACCCAGCCCACTGACCTAGGTTTCGTGCTAGTCGGTACCACTCACCACCAGTGTAGTCAGCAAGGCATATCTGCAACCTTGAAGGAACTCATGTCCACCCTTCTGAGATTCGAACCCGCATACGTACTAAATAATCTAGCTAAAATTCCCAATTAAACATTTAGAAGATTAAAAAAAGATTGAGCGAACACTAGTCTTTAGGATGACTTCGTTACCTGGCTCTACAGCTACGTATATATACACAATATTTGAAGAGTAATCGTTATTAACTGTGCACCGGTGGTACAGCGGTAGAAAGCTTGCCAACCATGTAGGTGAGATGCAGACTTCCGGGTTGGGGCCCTCAGGACTCTAAGAATCAATGGCTGGAGATAATAGGTGACATGGTTCAAAATCGTTGTCAATGGCCTACGCAGATAATTCAGTCTCTGTAATCTTTCATATTCCTTTCTACTATTACTCATTCTGTTTCACTCTTATACTTGTCAAAACTCTATTGATTCTCTTCACTCATCTTCTTGTCTACCTTTGTGTGCTATTTGGAACGTGGCAACTGGAACTGCTGCACTTCGGTGCCAAGTTCTATGTTGAATCAAGCCAGCCAGCAACCATGTAGGTGGTTTGGGGTTCGATCGCCGGCCACCGACGCACTCCTTTACCTCTCTCGTTAAGCCAGTAATAAGACTGGTAAAGAAGGAAGGTTGAGCGTGAGGCTAGCTACTCCATCCCGTAGAAATAAACACCATTGCTACCGAAACTTTAAGCCTCCAGTTTAAAGCCTTATGTTCCACTGGGAACGTAAAGGAATAAAATTAAAATAATCAAATAAATAATTGTTATTAATATCAATGACGTTTTTCAAATAATATCAAATAATAATGGTCAACACGCATTACCACCTCACTGTCTTCAGTCTTTAAGCTAGGAGTCAATATAGTCAGTCCAGTCCTGTAGCATCATCTTACATTTGACAAGAGTATATCGCATGTCAACAGCTCGAAGATCGCCGCCAGTCAAGGTGTTCAGAAGACTCTACATCCTATCAGCATATTTACCCAAGAGGACTACATCAATCATTCACATATTCTAAGTCAACAAGAGGAGGGGAAATCAGTCGACGAGACTGTGAAATAAATCGACTGAGATACATTAGGACATGTGTTACGTATGGCTAGCCTAACCATCGCCTTCCTCGACGGGTAATGTTAGCTGGCATGGGATCAGGTTGGAAAAGAGAAAGCTACTGGTAGTGAAACCAAAATATGGACTCATCAGTCAATGAAATCTACAACAGTTAGTCTAAGCCAGCCACGTAGGAAGGTGTAGACTTCCTGACTGATTGGGGTCCTCAGGACGGTAAAAACCAATGGTTGGAAACAATTAGCGCAATGGCTCAAAATCGTTCTCAATGACAGCGCAGATGCATCCACTCCTTGTGACTAATGATTTCCAATTAAACTGTTTTGTTATTCGTTATTACTATACCTTTGTCTCACACCTCTGTTTACTGTCTATATTATGCATTTCTCCTACTTTCTTCTCTTGCTTTGTATGCTACATGGAGTGTAGCGACTTGAACTGCCGCATATATGTGCAAAGTTCTATGTCGAAAACCGACCGAAGTCAACAAGACCATTCTCCCTGAGAACAAGTCAATCCCTAAGTGGCTGAAGTCAGTTCGAGTTAATTCCATCAGTACATCTGTGATGAAATTAAACAGAAAAAGGACTAGTGGGTTTCCCTGACAGACACACCACTAGTTGTCATTACTTTAGATGACAACTCTCCGACCTTAACAACAAATCAATACTATTGAATGAACACCAAAGTTGTCAATAACAATTACTCTGTAAAATATTGTTTAAATATATTATTATATAGATGTCCACAACACACACGCACATACACACACATACAAGATAGATTAATGCACGAATACGACAATAAGCTTACCTTAAAGGCAGGATGATCACCCAACTTCTCTCGAACTTCTTCCCAACTAGTAGTTGGTTGAATGAAATTCGATGAGGAGAGCATTTCACAGAAATTCTGTTCCAATTTTCGCATACGCCTAGCATCGTCTCTTTGACGTTCACGTTCCCGATTTTGAGCTTTTTCTAATAAACTATCATACGCCAAACGCAGATTGCCATCATCGATTCCTTTACTCCGTTCATCAGCAGTTATTATCTAAAATGTATACATATGTAATGAGATTTTAAAATCATTACAACGCATAAACAATCATCACATGAATAAGAACAAGAAGGATCTGTCTGTCTGTCTGTCTGGATTCAACATAGAATTTGGCACCCAAGTGCAGCACTTCGAGTTGCCACGTTCCAAATAGCACACAAAGGTAGACAAGAAAATGAGTGAGGAGAATCAATAGAGTTTTCACAAGTATAAGAGTGAAACAGAATGAGTAATGGTAGAAAGGAATATGAAAGATTACACAAACTGAATACACCTGCGTAAGCCATTGACAACGATTTTGAACCATGTCACATATTGTCTCCAGCCATTGATTCTTAGAGTCCCGAGGGCCCCAACCCGGGAGTCTGCATCTCCCTACCTGACTCATTTTAACTGTCAGGGATTTCATGAATTGATGAGGCCATGTTTTTGTTTGGCCACAACATACTCTTTTCCAACCTGCACCTATATCAGCTAGTAATGCCCGTCCGTCGGGGGAGGTGATGGTTAGGCATGCGCAGCACGTGACCTAGCCATCTCAATCTATGTAACTTTATAGCCTCGTCAATTGATTTCCCCTCTTTGCCCAATACTCTACGCCTAAAGTCAACATTACTTACCTTATTATACCACCTAACATGAGAAAGAGATCGTAGACATCTATGTTCAAAAACAGTCAACCTTTTCATGTCTTCAACTCTTATTGGCCATGTTTCAGAGCCCTAGAGAAGGACGGAGCGAACTGCTGAGCAGTACACACAGACGTCCCGTCTTTGATAGCCGGATATCACGCCTACGCCAGAGACGGTGTAAGTTAGCGAAAGCAGCTCGAGCTTTTTGGATCAGTGCTGAGATTTCGTCACCAATCAATCCGTTGGAGCTGGTACAACTTCCCAAATAGTTGAAGTAGTCAACATGTTCTATCACTTCACTCCCTATCACTAAGCTAGGAGTAGACGTAGTCCAGTCCAGAACAAGAAGGATGGAACTCATTAATTTAGAACAGGCTATAAGCCATACACTAAAGGCATACCTATAACTGCATCCGTGGTTTAACGATAGAATGCTTGCCGGCACACACATCGTATAGGTCCGACTCCCAGCCAACGGATGCACTCCTAAACGTCACTTTGCCGATAGTAATTCAGGCAAAGATAAAAGGTTGGGTGTGAGGCGGGTAACTCTACCATTTACAGAAAACCATACCACCACTAGCCCAATTTTGAAACCCTATTGTTCCACTAGAGATGTAAAGGAATGAGAAAGACAAGGGCACACCATACAAACCAATTGTCAAAGTTGAGGTAGACAGGGTAAGGTGTGAACATCTCCGTAAAGGCTACCTCGACTGAAATGCTTAGTGAAAGCAAGAGAGGTTGTTGACGACTACGCACAGTTTCTATTAATTTCCTCAATTCTAGAAATAAGATACCCTTTGATCGAACACCAGCTAGTAGCCAACATCGCAGGTAAAGCAGTAGGACTTGATGGAATAACTCCAGAGGTATTTAAGTATGGTGGAGACAATTTACTGTCTGCATTAACTGAGGTACCAGGCGGCGTCTGGGAATCAGAGGAAGTTCCGACGGGTTGGTGTAAGTCACTGATTATTCCCATATACAAGAAGGGAGACAAGTCTTCCCGTGATAATCACAGAGGGATTAGCTTGATTAATATAGTATCTAAAGTCCTAGGCTCAATAATATTGCGTAGACTAAGTGGTGCTCGGGAAGCACAAACACGAGAGAACCAAACAGGCTTTAGACCGGGAAGAGGGTGTATTGACCATATCTTCACCCTTCGACAGATTATAGAATATAGGCATTCTTACAGGCATCCAACAATCATTATATTGGCGAAACGATTGGCGAAATGGTTCAAAATCGTTCTCAATGGCGCAGATGAATCAACTCCTTGTGACTTATAATACCCAATGAAACTATATTCTTCTTCGATATTACTATTCCTTTTGTCTCATCTCTGTTTACTGTCTCCATTATGCATTTCTTCTACTTTCTTCTCTGGTTTTGTGTGCTACATGGAGGGAGTGTGGCGACTTGAACTGCCGCACATCGGTGCAAAGTTGTATGTCGAAAACAGACAGACAGACAGCCAACATCGCATGTTTATTCATTCGTTTAGTGTGAGCTGAATGGTGCCCATACTGCAAACTTCACCGACAGAATTCAATCTGTACCAAACGAAGGATTAGATGCACGATATTAGTTACTGCCTAGTGTCCAATCAAAGCATCGATTACATACATACAGGAAAGGTCAATAATCGTGAGCTCAGTGGTAACGTCTCTGACTGTGGCACTGGGTAATGCGGGTTCGAATTCCAGAGGAGACATGAGTTCCCTAAAGATGCTAGATACGTCTTGGTGACGAGTGCCTCCAACCATCTCACGACAATAAGATTCCCAAAATATGAAATATAAAAAAAAAACAATCTAACACGATATATATTGAAAGAGAATACTCCCAAGGCAGCAATAGTGTTGAATGCTAGGCAGATGGGACTTATCAATTCGAATAATGAAATTTGACTAAGTGACAAAAAGACAACATGATAACGTAAACCATAAAAGATACAATCAGATCCGTACGCTTGGTTATGGAACTCTACTTACGGTAGCATAACAATGAATCGACAATGTCTATAATCGATCAAATCCCTGTAGAGAGTGCGATACTATAACACTCACTGATTAAAGCATCAATTGGCCACAACTCTATATATGCAAGTAAAAATTATAAGCAGCCTTAATCCCTCTAGGCTAAAGTATGATAATCTCCATTCATCTTTTGACTCTACTTATTTTTCGTTTTGTTCATTTAATTTACATATCCTTCCCTTACTAGTATGTCGATTGTTACTACTATTATTCTCATTTTGAATCATAACCGGTATCATTTCACTCGTCCCACTTCTCAGTCTGAATCAATTTGTTTTCGCAATGTTAAATCCTATCTAATCAAATTTCACACCATTTTATAAAAAGGTTTTATTTGCCTACTAAGCCTATAATTTCACACACTCTTCCAACATCGATACATCCTACGAATAATTCTACATATCAGGTGTTGGTTTGTGGAGATTTCATCGGTTACAGGATTAATCACGAGTCGAATACAGTTATAGAACCAATGGAAACCAGAAGGGAGTACTGGACAGCCATATCTTTCATCCTAGCTTGGAACTCTTCAACAGTACGCACCCACTGGATTTCGAACTCCAAACCTTCGAGTTGCGAGCAAGCCAGCTTGTACACTATTCAGCCACTGCGACCCGATTCAATGGCCCATGAATTCGAACTTCGACCGATTCGTGAGTGATGGTCACACTAAAATGGTCTCTGAGCTCGTCTCGTAACCGGAGGGCCCTGGTGAGTCCGAACCCCGGGGTTGCATACTGACGAAGAGTCCAAAACCAGGACGAAACGGCTGTCTAGTATCCCCTGGTTTGCAACGATTCCCTAGCTAGTCTAAGCTGCAACAAATTGAATCCCTACAAACCAATTCTTGGAAAACTATTTGTTTTGCCACTTGACATTAGATTCAACTAGGATTATAACCGCAAATATTTTAACTGCATTTCATTCTACTATTATTATTTTATGTATTTACACATTTGTTTAAATTTTCTCACGGGATTTAATTTCTTTAAAAAAACCATATATATGTACGATTGTGCAGTTTGATAATAAATTCCTTGTTGAAAAGAGTCTCTTCGCTGAATCACCTTGCTTTTATTTTCTAAATTGAAATACTCTAAACGAAATTGTAGGCATCATTTCCCTTTCGGGTTCTACTCAAGCGCCCACAGTGCGCTTGGTATCAACCAAAGGTCTCTTTAGTGTATACGTAATCCATCTCCATTTCCTTCAGTGATTCTTGGCTGGTCAGTCACTCTTGTTTGACTCGCCACCTTCCAGATTCCCTTGTTACTTAACCTTTCAGACCATGTGATCTCCCAGCGCAGCGAGGCCAGCTGTTGACTAAATTCTACAGTAGCCTGTTGGAAATGCTCTTTGTGATGCGCATACAAAGTCTCCGAACCATACAAAAGTATTGATTTGACATTCTCATGTTGACAATATGAATCTCGCTGCTTGGCACTGAGTGTGTGCAGCAAACTTCCACACTCGTCTCAAAGTACTGAAGATATGTGTCTCTCATTTTACCAATCCTGACTGCCTTTGACACCCCCATCTGTGCCACCTGTAGTTGAGACAGTGATGCTGTCTGTGTCTAGATAAGTGGACATTGTAAGCAACGCGAGCAATAACAACAGTGTGTAAGTAGACTAATACAAACTACCCGAAGTTTATCAACATAAGTCCGAAACTACCTTAGAACAGCTACAGTAAATGACGATAAACACTGTGAGGAGACAAAAACAACCAACCAAAAAACAATATAAACTTACTGAACAAAAGTCATCAAAGGTAACAGATGTATCGAATGGTGTACTACTATACTTTAAGATCTCTTTGATTATCTTTTTCTCTGCAGGGAAACGAGCTTTCAATGATTCCACGTAGAATTTAAACAGATCAAGTGGAGTGGAACCACGTTGAGCAAGCATTTTATGGAAACGATCATCTCTAAAATAGCAAATAGCAAAAGAGTGCATGAGTAACAACACATGTATAGAATTGGATGGAGGATTTCATCATGAGATGACATCAGTTAGTGAGTCATTGGAAAACCTGCAGGGAGTACTGGACAGCTGCTTCATCCCACTAGTTTGGGACTCTTCAGTAATACGCACCCACCGGGGTTCTAACCCAGGAGCCTCTGGTTACAAGACGAGCTCGTAGACCATGAAACCACTCGGACGCGATCCAGTGGCTGATGAATTCCAACTTCTGCCAATTAACGACATAGCGCGACCATTTCGCAATGTCTTCTTTGATGAGTTACTGCCTCATCTTCAACCTGCTGTACCCTACTGATGAAGAGTCCCAAACTAGAACGAAGCAGCTGTTCAGTACTCCCAGGTTTTTCAGTGGTTCTCTAAATAATATCAGCTCATGATGAAATCCTCCATCCAATCAAACAAAATCCCTACAAAACCAATACTTGAACATGTATAGGAGCTTAAGAGTACATGTTATTTAGCTAGTTGAAGGAGGCTATTAGTGGAATCCAGGATGTGAATGTACCTGTATCCCCGGCGACAGAGGGTGATAATTTTCCCACTGAAATTCGAATCCAGAATGCATTGGCGTTTCACTCACTGTGGTATGGGAATGCAGGTATATCAAGTCGACGAGTCCTAAATAGAAGGAAGCGTGCATCCTGGATTCTATTTATTTATTTTTATTTTTTATTTTGATTACAGCTTGATGCCACACCATATTTTCAGTACAGGTATGAAATTTTCAGCATGGATATCGGTAGCCCAAATTTTGCAGGCAACTACTATTAACCAAACAACATTACATGTTAACCTTCATATATTGTCAAACTGCTAGATACTAGGCACTCATGTATCAAAAGAGGACAAACATTTAAGTCTAGTATAACAAATCAACCAATAGGAAATGCAAAATTAATCCTAAAATATGCACCGTGAATCCTCTACACACAAATCAACAAATTAATTGTTATTATTGCTATAAGACGGTTGTAGGCAATCGGCAGGAAGCCTCACCTGAACTAGGTTTCATGCTAATTGGCACTCACCAGTAAGCAAGGTATATCTGCAATCCTGAAAGAACTCATGTCCCTTGTGAGATTCGAACCCGTATCGCGCAGTGCTGCAGTCAGAGACGTTACCACTGAGCTATCCAGGGCTCGCAACTGACCTCCTGACTGTGATAGATACTCTGATTGAATACTAGACAGTAACTGGTGTCAGGCGTCTAGCCTTTTATTTGGGGCAGACTCAGAGGGGATATGACTTCCTCCAAGGTTGCAGATACGCCTTGCTGACTGTACTGGCCAGTGCAAACTAGCACGAGACCTAGGTTAGGCGAGGCTTCGTGACCATTGCCTCCAACCACCTAATAAAAGCAACTCAGAGTGCATTGTGATGGCGCGCCACCTAGCAAGGTGGCCATATTGAAAACTTGACTGATGGAATTCAGTCGGCACCAAACAAGGGACTAGACACATGACATTAGCTACTTACTACCTAGTGTTCCATCAAAATTATTATTAGTAATGACAACACACACTTGCTACATCGTGGGCAACAAGAAACACACCACACAAAATCTCGTGGTCTGTGAGGAGTGCGGTGCTGCCCAGATGCCCAGTTCAAAGCAAGTAGTTAGTTTAAGCAGTCACCCACTTCTAGGCCTTTGACTTGAAGTTTGATAGACAAGGCAGTGGATCAGCGTCTCCATGGTTACCGGTGACCAAAAATGTGTGTGTTTCTAGTCCTTAATTTGGTGCAGACTGAATTCTATCAATCAATTTTGCAATGTGGCCAACATGCCACTAGGTGGCTCGCGATCACGGTGCACTGTGAATTGTTGGTATTAGATGGTTGGAGGAGATTGGCAGGAAGCCCAGCCTGCTGACCTAGGTTTAGTGCTAATTGGCACTCACCAGTACAGTCAACAAGGGGCACCTGTAACCTTGAAGGAACTCATATCCCTTCGAAGATTCGAACCCACGTCACCAACCAGTGCTGCAGTCAGAGACGTTGCTACCACTGAGCTGTTCAGGCTGGCGATTGACCTCCTGTAGAGGACTGCATTGGATATTTTTCATTGGATGGTTTGGCTAAAAAGTTTCCATTGTCAAAACAGACCTCAAATTGAACTATGAGCTGAAGATGTTGCCTAGTAGGGCAGCAATGAAAGCTTCGTAAATAAACTTCCGAGCTCAAAGAACACAACTACGTCAAAAACTGATTGCCTCGCGCTTCAGGTCAGATAGAACTGTGTCACACGATTTGCTGTCAATTAATCAATCAATCAGCCGATCAATCGTTTATTTGAACATCCTGGACGAAAAGGAATTATCATGTAATAAACTCCGATTAAGATTGTTCAGAATAAAGCTATTATTAGTAGTAGTATAACCCTATCTAAACGGCGTACCCCAAATATTCATCAACCTTATTCAACAGCTGTACGACAACGGCACATGTCAAGTCATCCACAACGGAAAACTCAGCGAGGCGTTTGGAGTAAACACAGCAGTCAGACAAGGGTGATTATTATCACCAATGATATTCCTAATTGTGGTGGACTGGATTATGAGTCAGACAGTGGGAAACGAGAAGACAGGGATATCCTGGACCGACATGAAGAACCTAGAAGACCTCGATTTCGCGGATGACTTATATTTAATGTCACACAAAATCGAAGACTTATAAGCGAAAACCGACAAACTGGTCGAAGAAGCAGCAAAGACAGGACTCCAGGTGAACATAGACAAGACGGAGGTTATGAAAATAACCAACCAACAACAATAACAACAGCAGCAACATCCAGTGCCAATCACCATCAACCGGAGGGATTTGAAACAGGTTACTTCATTCACTTATCTAGGGAACGTTGTTTCAACTACAGGAGGAACGCATGAGGATGTCAAGTCGAGGATCGGTAAGGCGAGAAACACATTCATCAACCTCAAACCAACCTGGAAATCTTTGTCACTCAGCATCAACAACAAAATTCCGATTTTCAATACAAACGTCAAGTCAGTCAGTTCTTCTATACGGATCACAAACTTGGCGGGTTACAAAGAATATTTCCAACAGCCTGTTGCAGACCTTTATCAACAACTGTCTTCGCTCTATACTGAAGATCAAATGGCCGCCGGAAAGAATCACCAACAAGAAACTATGGGAACAAACAAAACAAGAACCAATCGCCCAAAAAATATGCAGGAGAAAGTGGAGATGGATCGGACACTCGCAGAGGAGGCCACTGGGTGACATCGTGCGTCAGGCCAACGCTCGAGTGGAACCCAAAAGGGAAGCGGCGAGTGGGACGTTCAAGGGTGACATGGAGAAGATCGTGTGAAGAGGAGTTGAAACAGTATGGATTAACATGGATGCAGGTGAAAAGTACAGCAGGAGACAGAAGCAAGTGGAGATGTGTAGTTGAAGCCCTATGTTCTGAACGGTTATCTAACTAATGTCATTTCGTAATCTAACTTGAAGTCAACCAAAATCTTTGCCAGCTGAAAAAATTTCAAGATTTCAAATGACAACAATAATAAATACATAAATAAGCCACTTACTTATTTATAATCTGATAAAGATCTTTCCATAAAGAGATAGATGTGAGTAGTTTACGTTCATGCAACTCCTCAAGCAGGACTATAAAAGCTTCACGATTTTTGCGTTGTTCCCTTTTCTGTTTACGACGTTCACGATCTTTCTCCTCTTCATACTCTTGTTCAAGCATACAGATATGCTCTTCAAAACAGATTAAGGCGTCTTCTTTATCGAGATTTTGTAACTCTACATCTTCTGTAAACCTGGAAAAAAAAAGAAATTATTCAAAATAGACATATTTATAATATATAATGAAAGGCTATAAGTGCACTGGAGATTACAAATAAATGGACCAATATATGATGATGACGATGTATTATTATTATTGTTATTGTTTCCTTTAATTCCTAGAGGAACATAGGGATTCAGCCATGCGTCTCCATTGCGTTCGGTTCTCTGCTAGAGTTTCCACCTGGCTCCAAGTCTGCCCACACGTTTTCATCTCCTCTTCACATGACCTCCTCCAAGTCACCCTTGCACTGAAGACCAACTCTCCGCTTCCCTTTCGGTTTCCACTCAAGGGCTTGTCTAGTGATGTCACTTGATGGTTTCCTCAGAGTATGATGACCAATCCACCTCCATTTCTTCCTGCATATTTGTTGCACAATCGGTTCCTGGTTGGTTCGCTCCCAGAGATCTCTGTTGCTGATCTTTTCTGACTGGACATCTGATCTTGAGTACTGAGCGAAGGCAGCTGTTGATGAAGGTCTATAGTTTGTTTGAGGTGCTCTTTATGACGCGCCAAGTCTCCGATCTGTATAGTAGCACTGACTTTACATTGGAGTTGAAAATCCGGATCTTATTTTTCAAGCTGAGTGCTGTTGACCACCAAACAGACTTGAGAGTAGTGAAAGCTTGTCTTGCTTTTTCGATTCTTGCTTTGATATCCTCATCAATTCCGCCTGTAGTTGAAACGATGCTTCCCAGGTAGGTAAAAGAAGGTAGTTTCTTTCAGGTTCCTCCCATTTATGATGAGGATGTAATAACGAGGAAAATTAAATATTTATGTACGTAACGAACTAAATTGTCATTCATGTGGATAGAAGTAGGATCTGAATTTTAAGTTACGTCTTAGGACCTCCCTACACCAGTTATGATCAACATGAAATAAAAAGTAGTAGTGTGGTGAGAACTGGTTGCAAGCCAAAAATTGTAGGCAGCAATTTACGTCTATGTTTACGTTCCGAATCCGGGTCATGAGAAAAACAAAACAATAACAAAGCTTAACCTTGAGGAACTCACCAACCAGTTACAGCAGACCTAACGTGTGCAAATACAACTCGCAGATATGTGGCCTGACTGTCTAAGAAACGGCCGTAAAGAGATGACAGAATAACCTTTAGCAAGAAAACAACCAATCAGAAGACGTTGCTTCTCTGCTAACAATAACGAATAATAATGTACATAAAAATCTATATCTGTTGATTTTCTGAATATAGGATCTGTTGCCTGACGCTTGTTTTCTGTTGTTACAGGACTACCCTTGAGAAATACTCACCCACGAACCCAGATCCTTCAGGTTATAACACCAAGCTCGTCGACCACCCAGCCGCATGGGATGGAACTCGGTGAACCGTGAATTTTAGCTACGCTCACCAATGCCTTCCATGAGAATCCACTACATCTTGACATGGTAGTGGACCCCCACTTCTTACTACAGCTTCAGGACAGGACATCTATCCATCCATCCATCCAGTAGCCATCAATGAGCTGGAAGCCGATATTAAGATTATGGGATTTGTGGGGGATATGGATCCATTTAATTCCAATCGTTAGATTACGTCACAAACTAACACACATCAGTTAGAGAGATTGTTGAAAACCAGGAAGCACTGAACAGTTCTTTCATCCGGTCCAAGTGGCTGAATAGTAAATGGAGCCGAAGGTCTCGGGTTCGATCGCAGGTGGGGTCGTGGATGTGCACAAGTTGAAGAGCCCCAGAATAGGACGAAACGGATGTCTAATGTTGCCTGGTTTTCAGTGATCTGTTTAGCTGATGTTGGCTTGCGATGTGAAATCTAACAAGTGAGATAAATGAACATAGTAGAGAAAGTTCCTATTTACATATTTAGAAGACAAAAGAGAAAGACTGAACAAAGAATATTCTTTTCGATACCTTGTACATTTGGCCTTACAGTCTCATATACAAACACAATATTTACAGAATACTCATTATTAACACCACTGATATCATTATATAAAACCGAATTGTTAGCATTAACAGAATTACACCTCAAAGTGACACTTCAGTGACAGATGATATAGTCCTTCTAGGTGAAGAGGCTGACAAAACCGAGCAGAGTCTTCTGGACACCTTGAGCTGCAATCTGCGAATGTTTGGCATACGATTCACTCCCGCCAAATGCAAAATGATGCTACACGACTGGATTACATTGAATCATTCCTAGCTTATAAATAGGGATTGAAGTGGTAGAGTATTGACCACTTCACTTATTTGGGAATTTGTATCAAACAACGCCAGTGGGTTGATCGCTGACGAGATATCAGCACGGATACAAAAGGCTCGTTTCACACATGCCAGTTTACGCCGTCTTCGGTGTACACGTGATTTCCGGCTGATTATCAACCCAAGGGCGTGTGTACTGCTGAGCAGCCCGCTCTATCCTCCTTTATGGCTGTGAGACCTAGCCATTGAGAGTGGAAGACATGAAAAGCCTGGCTAGCTGTCTTTGATTATAGGTGTCTGCGTTCTATCTCCCGTGTGAAATGGGATAAAACGGTGAGCAATATTGAGGTTAGGCGTCAAGTGCTAGGTAAGGTGGGGAAATCAATCCACGAGGTTGTGAAGTTACATCGACTGAGATGATTAAGACATGTGTTACGCATGCCTAGCCATCGGCCTTCCTTGACGGGCAATGTTAGCTGACATAGGATGGATCAGGTAAGAAAAGAGCTGGTTGGTGGTGGTCAAACCAAAACATGGCATCAGTCAATGATATCCACAACAGTTATTTTCAGCCAGTCAGTCACGTAGGAAGATGTAGGCTTCCCGATTGGGGTCCTCGGGACGGTTAAACACCAATGGCTGGAAACAATAGGTGATATGGCTGCAAATCGTTCTCAGTGGCGCAGATGCATCCACTCCTTGTGACTTATAAATTCCAATAAAACTATGTTGTTCTTCCATATTACTATTCTTTTTGCATCATATCTCTCTTTACTGTCTATTTCGCATTTCTTTTTAATTTCTTCTTCTCTGACTTTGTGTGGAGAGTGAAGTGTGGCGACTTGAACTGCTGCACATCGGTGCAAAGTCCTATGTTGAAACCATTCAGTCAGTCAGTCATTCAGTCTTCAGTGACAATATGCACAAAAGTGTAATACTAAATTGAATTTCAAAAAAAAAATTAAGCAGAAAACTTATGAGGCAATTAAAGATTGTTAAAATAATAATAGCTTGCAAAAGATTTACACAGGAAAGGAGAATTTATCGTATTTTTACAGTTGTGACAATGGTCAAGGTAGGGAGAGAGTGGAGACGAACTTCTGAACACTAGGCGAAATTAAAATTAGCCAAAACACAGCGGATAACTTAATTTTCGGAATTTACAAGGTGTTGAAATAAGAACAAATTAGTTAAGCGAAGAGTCTCTTTTCGGCGAATTCATTCACTTAGCTGTACAGTCGCAAATATATACAATTAATTTTGTGTGTGCGTGTGTACATTAGGTTTGTCAAAATCAAAATCAAGATAACAGTTAGTGTGGGTTGTTGATTACATCATCAAAATAATTAAGAAATTAAAATGTGTGATTAATAATCAAAGTTGTAACTAAGTGGGGTGAAGATTTACAAGGTGATCTAAACCAGAACTATGAATAGACCTTGTTTATCTCTTGCTTAAGCAAACAGTACGATATTCAGAAATCCGTTGATGAACATGCCTAAGTGTATGCCCCATAGAAGCAGCCAAACTGATAGATACACACATAGAGGAGGTGGAATTAGATAGTTTGTCTTTGATTCCTAAACGTCAAATTGAAGTAGTTGTGAAGAGACGGTGAACTTTTGCTACACTGAAGGCTCTTTCTATCGCTTTGTTTCAACAGTGCGTTATTACCTTCACTGATGTTATCATCAAGGAACTGCAGTTATAAGAACAAGAACTTCTTTAGAGCTGTTGACGTACTAGCTTACCTTGACGTTAAACTCATACTGTTATCAACAAACTATACAGCACATCCATTTTCACTCAGTAACTCTCTAATAGTCTTGAGTTTTTCATTAAGATAGTTATTAGAGCAGATTACTTTACTTTCAACCGCAGGTGGAACGGATGAAGATGTCAAATCTAGCCAGCCAGAATCGGAAAGGCGAGATACGCTTTCATCAACCTGAAACTAGTTTGGAAATCTACTGCACTCAGCCAGTATAAAGAACAAGATTCTGATTTTCAACACAAATGTGAAGTCGGTTACTTCTTCTATACGGGTTAGAAACTTACAACGCGTGTGAGTCACGAAAAGAATTTTTAACAAGTTACAGATTTTTATCAATAGCTGCCTTTTCTGGTTCCATATTGAAGATCAAACGGCCGACTGGCTAGAAAGAATTAGCAACAAAAATCTCTGGCTGGGAACAAACCAACCAAGAGCCGATCGCTCAAAAAATACGTAGCAGAAAGTGGAGATGGATTGGGCACAGACTGAGGAGGCCATCGAATGACATCGCACGCAAAGCAGACTATTGCTAGAGTGGAATCTGAATAGGAAGTACTGAGTGGGTCTTCACTTAGATGGTGACATGGAGGAGATTGTGTGAGGAAGAGATGAAAGAGTTTGGGTAATCGTGGAACCAGCTGAAGATGACGGCAGAAGATACGACAAAGTGGTGTGTTGTTGAAGCCCTATGCTCCACTCGAAACCCAAGAGAATAATTATAATAATACTTTAGCTTTATGAAGCAAACACATTACTAAACGGCGTTTAAATGTCAAAGGTACGAAACTGAAAGAATGATTATGCTGACCAGTCGATGTAGATTTCCTATATATACACTCCTTATTGCACCGTCGTCTTTCCTAGTCAAAGAGACGTCTAGGAACGAAATACTGTTATATTTTTATTTCTTGACGGTTAAATTTATTGAGGATATTCTTTGTTTTATTCTCATTTTTCCTAATCAAAAGAGAATTATCTGTGTAACCACAACAGAATTCTAGTTTACCAATTACACCTTTCAAAGATCCATTATCTGCTTTTGTGAGGAAAATGTCAGCTAGAATTGATCCTGGGGGTGAACTATGATTTTAATGATCTTAACGACTCGATATTATTTGAAAAAAGTCAATGCTGTTAATAACGATTGCTCTTCAAATATTGTGCATATAAAAGTGCAGAGCCATATGACGAAATTATCGAAAAGAATATTATTTCACTCAATCTTTTTCGTCTTCTAAATATATAATAACAATTTAGGTGCTGTGATTCATTAAATTAGGTATTTGGCTTTCAAACAATAGGTCACAGGTTTAAATCCCATTGTATTTATCGAAGTATCAACACCACCAAACCCAAGTGTTCTGATTTGAATGTGGCTGTTGAGCAACCAACTAGAGAAGGATACGCCATATTTCTCTTCTTGTCAATTTCGCATTTCCCGTTGACTGATTACGTCTGACGACATCTCGGCTCTCGGTATGAATGTATCGAATGTACCCAAGGCCTAAACGTGAAGTTACTTTGGCTGATGGTGCTTACAAGTGGAATCAAGGATCCAGAATGACATCTCTTGCACAAAAGGTGGCTCTCGTGGCCCAGCAGCCTTTGAAACGAAGAGTGCTGGGTTCAAGTCTCTTCAACAAGAACACCATCACTCAGTGAGAATGAAGGTATATCCGGATGGCGAGCCCCGAACAGGACGAAATGCGCATCCTGGATTCCACTGATAGTCACCAACAAGATATGTACTATAACTTACATTAGTGTCTTGTAAAAAAAATGAGCAACAAGAAACTTGCTACACACATATAGCAACAATATAAGGCGAAAAGAAAAAAAGGTTAAAGGATTATAGAGAAGTGAACATAAAATGAAAACACCATACACCAATATTCCTCCATAAATTCGAACAAAGATACCACAAACACCGATGCAAAAGAGAGTGGAATCATTTTGTTTCGCTGATTCTCTCCAGCTGCGTATAACCTTTAACACTTAAGAAAACCTATTAAAATTGTATTATAACTGGTTTTATTAAATATTATAGGTTGTACTCAGCCGAAGATGACCAACGAAGCAAAATAGATCCATATTATTTTGCACCAATGCTTGCTCTATGTTCGCTCAAATTTATGGAACAGTTAGTCTTTCCATTTTGCACCCCAGACATTTCGTCTGAATCATTTGACGAGAGGCTAATGAGCCTTTTATATTTGCATTGCTACACCAGAAACTGTAGAAGCTTCTGAGATAAGTGAAATGGTAGACACTTTAAACAAATCCGCTCATCATACTGAAACAAGGTATCCACTGGGAACAGTTCTGAAGCAAAACTTTACGTTTCAGAAGACGGAACCACTATTTAATACCTTGTCAGTATCTTCTCCTAACACGAGTAGGTCGTTTAAGTAAGTCAAGCCAACCAGGATATCTCTTCTTTGGATGTAGGCTTTATGCCTGAATCCTCAGGATTCCAAGAATCGATAGCTGGAGACAATACTTGGTGATATGAAATCGATCTCAGTGATGGCGCGGATATATTCGCTCTTTGTGACCTTCCATATCTAACAAACCCTTAACGCTTTCCTATGTTACTACTCTTTCTCCGTCACACTTCAACTTATTATGGCTCTTGTTAATCTCTTTTTTTCTCTTATCTTTCTTCAGCTGCTTTGTGGAGTGTGACAACTGGAACTGGTGCAGTTCCCTGTAAAGCGATGTGGTGAAACCAGTAAGTCAGTGTGTCAGACTATATGACCAGATATTGATTTTTAAAGCAGATTGTACGAACAAAACTTTCTTTATTATACATTCCAGCAGTGTCAATAGCTTGCAAACAGAAATCAATCTTCCGTAAACTTTTCTTGCAACCTTTAGTTAGTACACTACTTTTTACAAATTTAGCAAAGGCAAAGCAATGCAACATAAAGCGTTATGCATAAAAAAACTTTTCCTAAGGTATAAGATTTTCTATTACAACTGGCATCACTCATGTAATCACTATGATGAAGCATCAAAAAGGGAATGAACATATCTTTTTAACGCATAAATCTGTGGAGATGAAAACAACATATACAGATGTAATTCTAACATTTCCATATGCTAGGGACTATAAAAACTTGCACAATTCTCAACGTCCACAGAAAAAAGTGAACACTAAGCTAGAAATTCAAATTTAACTCACCTAGTATTGTCAAGTAACATTTGTTGCGCTTCACTCCATGTTGTTCGATAGGTAAGATCAAGCATCTCACTTAGAATTTCATTAAATACCCTTATATTTCGTTTGCGCAGTATCTTAGCCTCCTCTCTTTCACGTTTTCCAATCTCTTGCATAACATCTTCAAATATCTCACGACGATCACGATCTGGAACATCAGTCCATTCTTTTGTATCTGAAAGTAATTGGTCTACTCTGCGATATGACATAGTTGAATGCAATTTATTGCACTTTAATAGGTACTTTTCTAAGTCTTCTTTTGCTCTTTTGATTCTTATTCTCTGTTCTTCTCGCTCTTCTTTTAATCGCTGAGTTTTGTACACATTAAATATCTGCTTTTTCTCATTAAACGTTTTCAAGACAGCATACCTAGGATCTCCGGATATAAGTTTCAATGCTTGTTCCCATGTTGAAGCACCTGGAACATTACAATCTCTAAAAAGCCTCCTAAGACCTTCTGCCATTTCTGCTCTCGTTTTATACTCCGGTACAGCTTGTGTAGCTGGAGGAACTGTAGTAGCTGACTGTGAATTGTTTACAGGTTTTTCCTCATCACTCTCCTCCTCACTGTCATCTAACTTGTCTGGAGGAAGCGGAATAGGAATTGACGCTGTTGCTGCATCTGATGCCTCGAAAGAGGCTAAAGTTGCTTTCATAGCGCGTTCTATTTCTGAAGGCTCAGGTGGTTTACTGATATCTTCTTTGGGTGTCGCTGGTGTGCACGGTGTAACAGGCGGTATGCCGTTTGGTGGCTCAGGGATTGAATTATTTGATGTCGGGGTACATGCTGCAGCTTGGTTTTCAGCGTCTATTAGCTCTTGCGGTTTTACCCAAACCGACTGTTTTGTGATTTCGTTGTAATAGTAAGGTTTGCCATTCTCAGACTTAAACTCTTTCCATGGAGAATTAAAAAGTATTTTCTCTCGCTGGGTTTTCAATTCTTGAGGTTTTTCCCATGTAGTTTGATGAGTGTAGGTGTTAAAATAATATTTTCTACCATCATGAGAATGATGTTCTACCCAACCAGCATTAATTTGCACAGCTGATAACTGAGAAACAGACGTAACTGGGTTGGGCACAAAATTTGGGTGAGCATATCCGGGGTATCCAAGGTGTGGCGTGACGAAAGGATGTGGAAAACCTGCCATTCTCATATACTACGATTAATGGCTGCAAACACGAATTTGAATTGATGTATGCTCGATAAATTTTATGATTCCACTTAGGTCAGATATTTCCACGTGATCAAGTACGCAAGGTTTACTCTCGTTTAATCAGCTTTTGTAGGTAAATGCAGCTTGGTAAGATCTAGTAAAAGATAAATTGAGATTAATATGAGCAGAGCTTACTACATGATGTTTAAAAAACGACTTATTTTGGAAATAATCTCATTATGACGATGGACGACTAAATGTATCCCAAATAATATCCAACAAATAATAATCACACCATCCGACAAAACAAACAAGCAGAATAATGACGGAAATACAACGATTTACAAATAATTAGACTGTGTACTACAAACTGAAATAAAGAAAAGATCTCTTGAAACCCAGTTGACTAGATCAGAATTTTTACATGCCATACGATGAACCACATTATATGTGGAAGCATGTTGCTGCTCACGATGAAATTAAAATGTTAGAGCTAAACAGCTCTAACTCGGCAAACAAAAAGGTCGTGTTTGGAAGACCCAAAAGAGGTTACCTGGGAGCCTTGAGTCGTTCCTGTATTTGTATATACCAATAAATTCAGTAATGAGGTTTGAATATGGCGTATTGTGAAAAGGTTGAAACACAAAGCGTGTAATTGTGCCACAAAACAGTTTGACACTTGTAAAGACGTGACTGGGATATAATGCAGGGTAAAATTCAGAAGAAACAAGGTTACGAGATGCCTTTAGGAAAGTATCCAACATGGCTTATGATATTCTGGCAAGACAAGAAATAATCTCTTACTGACCACTCTATATCACAATTGCCAACAGCTCATGGTACTTAACTTCCTTAATTTTGGATACACTGATGGATGCATAATCAGACAAGCTAGAGCACTTGTACGGTGGCGTACCCTAATCTAAGATACTTGAATGAAGAAAGAAAAGTTTAAGATATGCAAGTCACACGCAATACATACATTTGACAACACATCGAAGTTAATTTGGGCTGCCAAGTATAGAAACTATCACACCAAAGAAGACAGCTTAAAATCACTACACTAAAACCTTCACAGAACCTGGGACCGTTCCCAAATGCCAAAAGTTATGAACTAACTAAAATAAATTGATTGCTTTGTATAGCACATGTTCAGGAAAGTCTGATAAAGTGAATAGTCTAAGATAGCATGAAGATAGTTTTCAGGTTTCCGGGGTGCATTGTACGCCCAGTTGACAACTGCCAACAGCTTTCCATTGAAATTCAGTTAATCACTCATAGACACGTGGCTTTGGAGTGAACCAGCATCCACAAGTGTGGATAGAAAAACAGGCGAAACTTGGAAGATAACGCAGACTTAAGCACTAAAATGTGTCAAATATGATCTAGATAAGCAACACAAGAGTAGTAGGCTTATGTTAGGTCAGAATGACCATGGGTGGGCAAGTCACGGTCGAACTCAACAATGTTTGTCGATGAGTAACCATATGGAATTTAACAAGCCGTTACTCTACTTAAGTCGGACAGACTAATCGTCAAAAGTATTTATGTAAAATATTTCGGAGTAAAATGAGTATATTCCATGGTAATTTAGGCAAGCGTTAGTTTGTCAGTGTCTATAATTACGGATCCCAAACTGAAATGAACACTCCAAGAGATTATTACAATAGAAAATAACAAGCCTCACCAATCACATAAGAGTAAATTAACAGAATATTCCTGTAAAATCCACACAAGTGAAAATGAAGCTAGACCAGCGATTTTCTTAAGCAGACCGCTTGGTAGCATCTAATGTTCAATGGTATTGTGAGAGCTACTGTAAAACCACTGGTTCTGACTTCTCACTCAGCTAAATAGCAGCTCTTGATTTTCCCTGGATTTAACACAGTGTGTAGTTCTATGTCTGTACGCTGCACGGTGCGTTTAATGATAGTTTCCCATTTTACAATGTCTCTCACAAGCCTATGAAAACCTTGTTATTTCTTGACATTCAACACCTACTGTTTCGGAAAGGCTCTATACCTCTCGTAAATTCCACCAATATCTATCTCATCGACTGCTTCAGCTTAACCAAACGCAGCACACACCTGTTATCAATGGTCCGTCTGCAAAATTTGGGCCACCGATATCACATGCTTAAAATTCCATACTTGTACCAAAAATACTGTATGGTTTCAAGCTATAATCAGAAAGCAGTACTGGGGTGGAGAATCTGCTAGGATTTGCAAAATTTCGTCTCACCGAACACTTCTTCGGTAAGGTTGCTCGGTACTGTAAAACATGAGTCTTAATGATGCCTAAAAATGAGTAGACTGCAAAAACAGAACTTAGAGCAAGAGTGCTGGATGGGAGACAGACAAGAAAATGTGGGCGCGTGAATACATAATTATAATAAAAAAGCATAAAAAGACAGGTAAGCACGGAGTTGGTGATAAAATATGTAATACAACAGTGAATTACAGAGAAATAGGTGGGGTATTTGTGTACTGGTACAGACCCCTACAAGAAATTTGATCTCCGATTAGATGAACTCTAACGTGTAGTTTAGTCGTTTAGAGGCTGAGGGCACTGACGTTAACGGATAGTGCGAAGTATGTTAACGCAAGATCTAGTACCCACAACCTGTACAGTACTCGTTCCGCGTAGAACAAAGGCGAAGCAAAATACCAGAATTGGTCGGCCAAACTACGAAGCATATTTCGGTACCGAATTGGAGTACGAGATGATTGCTTAACTAGCAGATCTAAATTATGAAAACATGCTTTTTTTCCGATCATCTACAAGCCTGTTCAGCTTCTTTTCAAGATGCTACCCCATGGGCTTTACGCAAATTCGTGAGATATCCTACAGGTCAGCTTGTCCTACGGGTTCTAATCTTCCAGATATTTGAATTCACTTCTCACTGAAATATCAGTTATCTACCTCACGATAATCTTTTCATTTACGCGCTATTATACTCTACTTCATGTTAACTACCACTACTAAAGCTGAAACTTACTCTTTGTTCATATTTGTTGCTTGCTTAAATTCTGGTTGCTTTGATTAACAACACAAAAACACCAATGTTTGAACAAAGCTATATTTTCATCGGAAACACCACAGTTCCCACACATGGACCAATATGGTTAACATTAAACATTGCAAATGTATACTATCATTTCAAGTACTATATAACTTCATCTTCTTGTACCTAACCTGTAAATGTACTTCCAATGATGTAGTATTCATAATTGCATTTTACACCATTTTTTAGTTTCCCAGGACGTTCTTCTCTTCCTGAAATAGCGTTCAGTCACGTGGTTGCATGGTAATTACCCAAATATACGCTGTTCACCGATTGACCATAACTATCAGCAGGAAATGGGACGAATTTCAGGTTGTGGCTCAACTCTGATGGTGACCTGGGTGAAGGGCTTACAATTTAACATGAATAAGAACCTGTTCTGATTGCTTGTACGATAATCGAACAATTTAAACGTTTGAAAAAGTGTTAGTTTATGATACTTCAGGATTGTACTTTATGATATATATGATCGCACCTGTAAAAATGGCATGCATTTCTTGTCAACTCACACGTTTATACGAAACATAAATTATTACTATTATAATTTAATGCAACAACAGACAACGATCAGCCAAGATAAATGGGAGGAACCTGAAAGAAACAACCTCTTTTACCTACCTGGAAGCATCGTTTCAACTACAGGCCGACGGAACTGGCGAGGATATCAAAGCAAGAATCGGAAAAGCAAGACAAGCTTTCACTACTCTCACGTCTGTGTGGAGGTCAACAGCACTCAGCATCAAAAATATATCCGTATTTTCAACTCCAATGTGAAGTCAGTGCTAGTATACGAATCAGAGAGTTGGAGCGTCATGAAGAGCACTTCAAACAAACTACAGACCTTCATTAACAGTTGTCTTCGCCCAATACCACTCAAGATCAGATGGCCAGCCAGAAAAGATCAGCAACAGAGATCTTTGGGAGCAAACCAACCAGGAATTGATTGTGGAACAAATAGACAGGAAGAAGTGGAGATGGATTGGTCACCCTACTCTGAGGAAACAAACCATCAAGTGACATCACTAGACAAGCCCTCGAGTGGAACCCAAAAGAGAAGCGGCGAGTTGGTCGTCAGTGCAAGGGTAACTTGGAGGAGGTTATGTGAAGAGGAGATAAAGACGTGTGGGCAGACATGGAGCCAGGTGAAGACTCTAGCAGAGAACAGAACGCAATGGAGACGCACAGCTGAAGCCCTATGTTCCTGTAGGAATTAAAGAATACAATAATTATTATAATTATAATTATAATTTAATAATTCCTATCGTGGCATTAAAAACACAATATTCAGCGAAGAGACTCTTTTCGACGAATTTATTATCAAGCTGTACAATCGTATATCTATCGTTTGATGAAAACTTTGCTATTTTTATTTTAGTTGTTATTACTATTTTTTACTATCATTTTATACTTTATGCATATTTTTCTCTGTATTGCTTACAGTAGTTTGCTAAATAGCTGCTACAACAACGTTTTGTTATCATTATTATGTAATGATTATTTCTTTTATTTTCTGTTGTTTTTGAGTAAATTAGGTGCAATATTGTCCTGAATGCTGAAAATTCCTTGCTGTATCGTTAGTACTGTGCGTCGGTGCTACAGTGGTCAGGACTCTCGCCGACCATGCACATGGTCCGGGGTTCGATCACCTGCCGGCGCACACCCGATATCTATGGTCGGCCTGAATTTGGGCTACCGATATCCATGCTGAAAGTTCCATACTTGTACTGAAAATACGGTGTGGAATCAAGCTGTAAATCAAAATAAAAAAATAAAAATAAATTATTATATATATGGTTTCAAGAAATTATATCCAGTGAGGGAATTAGGTCAAGGGTGTGAATACATGAAATAATAATAGTATGAAATGCACTTAAAATATTTGTGATTGTAATCATAGTTCAATGTCAAGTGGCAAAATAATTTGTAATATATAAAATAATACACCCAATGCAAGTGCAACACTCAAAAACTGAAAGACACTTTCACTGCAACTGTCAGAGCAAAGCAGGAAACACTACGTGGCATCGGAACTCCCTGAAGGCGATTTTTAACGAAACGTGTTCATCGGTTTTAGGAAGAAAGAAGAAACAAGACAAGGAATGGCTCTCAACGGACATTTGGAAGCTAATAGAGGAAAGGAGAATGGTGAAAGAGAAAATGATTCAATGCAAAGATGGAGAAGAGGAGACGCTGAGTTCAACTTACACAGCAATGGACGAAGAGGTGAAGAAGAGTGCCAGGAAGGAAAAAAGACGATTCCACGACAATCTGGCTACTGAAGTTGAGAAGGCAGCAGGCAAAAGGGACCTGAGGACACTATATCAGATAACCAAGTCTCTATCCGGGAAGAGATCAACACAAGTGAAACCTATAAAAGACAGCCAAGGGAACCCAGTCACCAAGGAAGAAAGACAGATTAAACAATCTGCGGATCACTTCAAAGGACTCTTGAACCGACCACCACCTACAACTCGTCCAGAAATACAAACAACAGGGCGTACACAACTGCATGTTTACACAAATACTCCAACGGAAAATGAAGTCTTGAATGCAATCAAGCTTCTGAAAGCTTGAGAAGCAGCTGGACCAGATGGAATACCCCCGGAAGCACTGAAAGCAGACCCAGAAACGACGGCAGATATGCTGACTCCATTATTGCAAAAGATCTGGAAAGAGGAAAAGGTGCCTACTGACTGGAGAAAAGGGTACCTAGTGAAACTACCAAAGAAGGGCGACCAAGGACTCTGCAAGAACTGGCGAGGAATCATGCTCCTGTAGACGTCAAGTAAAATCCTGAGTCGCATCATCCTGGAGAGAATAAAGGACGCACCGGATTCGGGAAAGGCAAATCATGTTCTGACCAAATTGCGACTGTACGCATCATCACAGAACAAAGCATGGAATGGCAATCAAACCTCTACCTCAACTTTATAGACTTTGAGAAGGCCTTCGACAGCGTTCACCGCAAAGTAATTTGGAAACTAATCGAGTACTATGACGTACCTCGAATATTCATCAACCTTATCCAACAGCTGTACGACAACGGCACATGTCAAGTGATCCACAACGGAAAACTCAGCGAAGCGTTTGGAGTAAACACAGGAGTCAGACAAGGGTGCTTATTATCACCAATGATATTCCTAATTGTGGTGGACTGGATTATGCGTCAGACAGTGGGAAACGAGAAGACAGGGATATCCTGGACCGACGTGAAGAACCTAGAAGACCTAGATTTCGCGGATGATTTATGTTTGATGTCACACAAAATCGAAGACTTACAAGCGAAAACCGACAAAGTGGTTGAAGAAGCAGCAAAGACAGGACTCCAGGTGAACATAGACAAGACGGAGGTTATGAAAATAACCAACCAACAACAACAGCAACAGCAACATCCAGCTCCAATCGCCATCAATGTGAGGGATTTGAAAGGGGTTACTTCATTCACTTATCTAGGGAGCATTGTCTCAACTACAGGAGGAACGGACGAGGATGTCAAATCGAGAATCGGAAAGGCGAGAAACACACTCATCAACCTGAAACCAATATGGAAATCTTCGTCACTCGGCATCAGCAACAAAACTCGGATTTTCAATACAAACGTCAGGTCAGTCAGTTCTTCTATACGGATCATAAACTTGGCGGGTCACAAAGAATATTTCCAACAGGTTGCAAACCTTTATCAACAACAACTGTCTTCGTTCTATACTCAAGATCAGATGGCCGGAAAGAATCAC